AAGGGCTTTGGAGCACCCCTTTGTTGCCATGGCTTCAAGGGATGGGTCCAACCCGGCTGGGGCCCTAAGAGGAACCTTACTGCAGCAGCGCTTTGGTTTTCCGCGTGGGATCATCGGGCCGGAAGTTCTTGTACTCCTCCACCTCCTTTTCCAGGGATAGGAGCTGGCTCTGGAGCTTGCTCCGTAGGGAAGGCAGCGTCTCCCGGATGTGGTTGGTCAATTGCTGCGCGACAACGGCCGTTACCGACAGCCCCAGGGCCGGAGATACCCAGGGGTGCTGCTCCCTGCCCCGCTGCCAGCGCCACGGAGGAGCCCATCCCAACCTGGTTCAGGACCTTCTGGAGGTGGGGGGTGCCCATGCGGTCGGCCATGTGCCGGTAAGCGGGGTGGGAGAGGAAGAACTTGCGCTCGGCCGCCAGCGCGGCCCTGATGTCCTTCTTGCCATCGATGTCCTTCTGGCTCCGGTTGACCACCCCGATGTAGCCTGCAATGGGAAACGGTGGGTCCCGTTCCAGAGCTTCCCTTTGGGAAGCAGATCTGGGGCTGGGGCGGGGGTGGCAATGGAAGGGGATGGAAAAGAGGATGAGGAAGGGGATGGAGTTGGTTGGGGAGGCTCAGGAGAAGCTGTGGGGAGGCCCCAGGGTCTGAAGGGGACTCCAAGGATGGGGAATCTTTATCATGGACAGGACAAGTGCAGGTTGGATACAAGGATGCTGGGACACTGGGATGAAGGGAGAAGGTTGGGATGCCCCATCCCTGGCAGTGTCCAAGGTGTTTGCATCGACCCTCTCCAGTGGAAGGCGCCCCTTGGCGTTCCAGCAGGTTGGAACTGATCCTTCCCAACCCCATTCCATGATGTTCCCCCTGACTGGAGGAGGCTGGGGGTTGGATCCCAAAGTGGTACCTCTCCGGAGAGGAAGCAGCTTGTTCTCCAGCACATCCCTGGCATCCGTGCCTTCATCCATGAGATCCAGCTTGGTGATGACGCCGATGGTCCTCAAGCCTGATGCGACCCCATGGAAAACGAGGCCCCGGTGAGGCTCCCTGCTCCATCCCATCGGATCAGGAGCGTGAGGATGCATTCCCCCCCCCCCCCCCCCAACCCTTTTACCTTGCGGATCGACTTCCTTGGCCATCTTGAGCGCATCCGAGTTGGCCAGATCCATGTTGGCCGGCGTGACGGCGAGGATGAGGCTGCTCTCCCTGCTGATGAACTGCAGGATCATGTCCTTGATCTGGTACTCGATGTCCTGCGGCTGGTCCCCGACGGGCACCTTGGTGATGCCCGGGAGGTCGATGAGGGTCAGGTTCAACACTGGCACGGGAAAGGAGGCCGCGGTGAAGGAAAGTGGGAATGCCGCCATTCCCGGCGCCTGGAAGCAGGGCCGAGGGCCGCTCACCGTGCGGGGAGTACACGCGGAGGTTGATGGGGATGGGGGAGATGCCTTTGTTGGTCCCCGTCACCCGGTCGGTTTCCGCCTCGATTTCCTGCCGCACCTCGTCAAAATCCGTGAATTTCTTGGATTTGCAGTGCAGGAATTCAGCGTATTCTGGGAAAGAACGGGAAAACCGGGATGGGAATAACGGGGGTAACGGCAACGTGGCCACGGGGAGCCCCCGAGAGGACACGGCGAAGGGCCTGGCATCCTGGAATGGATGGCGAAGGACCTGAAAGCGCAGCCCGGTTCCAGCCCTCTGGAATGGGCAGGGGGGCACCGGACCGCCGCCAGGGAGGGGGCATCCCAACCTCTTCCCATCCAAGCCCGTCCCAGGGTCCACACCTGTCTTGGAGAAGATGAGCTGCAGGATGAGGGGCCGCCGGGTGACGATGCCAGAGCCGCGGGGCAGGAAATCCCTAGGAGGAATTGGAAAAGCGGGAATTGGGATGCAAGGAGCTGGGATCCAAGGCTCCCCTCTGGCTCCGCAGCTCCATAGGATCCAGCAGCCGGAGGTGGGAGAGGGGGAAGGATCCCTGCTCCCAAGGCCACCCCCCCCCCCCCCCATCCCTCCCTAAGGAAAAGGGGAGGGATGGAAGCGCATCCCTGCTCCCTAAGGGAGAGGAGAGCGGCTCCCGCCTCCCTGCAGGAACCCGGGAAGCAGCTTCCATTGGGAGAGCTCCATATTCCCACTTCAGAAGGGAATGGATGGGATAACCCCCCCATTTCGGACGGGCCAAGGAAACGGTGCTGCCCCGAGCATTCCGGGCCGGAATCGCACGGAAGTGGGAATGGGATGGGCAGGTGGGTCTGCCCAGCAGTGCCATGCTGCTTGCCAGGAAATGGGAATGCCGAGCTCCTTGGGAGAGGGACGCGAGGGCCAAAGGGGATGCTTCCATTAGCATCCAGCGCAGGGATGCAGGTCACGGGGATCCCGACCGCCTCCCATCCGGCTGGGGATTCCAGGTGGGAATGTCACGGGATGGGTTGGGAGCCAATGGCCCGTGCCTGGCATTGCTGGGGCTGGAAAAGCGGGACGGGAGCTTCCTGCCCAACCGGGAGGACAGGTCCTGCGGGAAGCGGCACGGGGCAAGGGAGGGAAGTGGCTGAGGCCCCGGCCCTGGTCCCTCCGCTCCCATGGGAGCTGCCGGCTTCCTGCTATCCCTATGGACCCGGGTGGGATGCAGGCAGCGTCTCCATCGTTCCGTGATGCCCTGCTTGGGAAGAGCGGCACCAGGAAGCGGCTCCTTGGAGAGCTCAAAGGTCACCACCAGCAGCAGAGGAGGAGGAGGAGGAGGAAGAGCACAGGGAACATCCCTGGGGAACAGCCTCCTCCTGGGAGCAGCTCCCTCTCCCATCTCCCCCTGCACTGCCGGCCCCTGGGAACACCGGGAACGCCATGGGAAGGGCTCATAAAGCCCCATTGAGGTTCGGGCCCCGGGGGGGGAAGGGCCTCCCCACCACAAGGGCCCCATTGTCAGGGCTCAATGCCCGGGGTTGATCCCGCTCCGAGGACAGAGCAGCATTCCATGATTCCATGACCTAACCCAGGGAGGGAGGGGGCGTCCAGGGAGCTCATCCCAACCCTGCCTCTTCCTTGGGCCTTCTCCCTTATCCCGGGTCAGGGAATTGCCTTGGTCCAACCTTGGTGGGGCTCAGAAGCTTCAGGCCACTGGAGCCGACTCCGAGCTCAATCCCCAATGAGATCCCTCCAAAGGGGTTTATTCCAAGCGGGAATAACGTCCTTCCCTGCAGCTCCTCGCAGCAGGGATGCAGGAGAAGGTGGGGAATGAGCAAAACCCCCATGTCACATCCTGCCTCCATCCACCGGGATACTGGGAGTCGGGATTCCAGGGCCTCTCATGCTCCCGATCCCCACTCAACCCCACCTTAAAAGCCTTTGGATGGGAGATCCCAAAGCTCCATAACAAAGTTGGGATCCCCAGGGCCGGTTTTCCAGCACCTCCATGATGAGGAACTCCCAAAGGGAAGGGGAATAACTTGGCTATCTGAAGCCCCCCCTGCATGAGGATATAAACAGCCTGGAATGGGATGGAATTCCCGCCTGGAATAGCTTCTTTGGGATGCAAAGGTGTTGCCAGGGCGGTGACAAGCCAGGCTGGGATGACAGCACAGGAAGTTGCCTATTGTTCCCATTCCAGCATCCGGGATGGGAACGGAGGAGCCCTGGAGCTGCAGGAATCCAGCTCCTTGCCCCATGGGTCCCACTGACCTCGGCGGGGTGGAACCAGCTCCGCTGCCCCCGTTATCAGTGCCCAGCCCGCTGTCACCCTGCGGCTCGGCCCCTATCTCGGGGGCACAGGGCCCCACCGCAGCCCGGCGCTATCAGCCGGCTCCACGCTCTTAACCCGGGTTAACGGCGGTGATGGGGGGCCAGGAACCGTGCGGGATGCTCCGCTCCTGCATCCCGGTTCCCCCACCGGTACCCGCACCATTCCCCTACCTACGCTGTTAGCGTAAGAGTCCGGTACCCGCACCATACCCCTACCTACGCCGTTGGCGTAAGGGTCCGGTGCCCGCACCATGCCCCTACCCACGCCGTTGGCGTAAGGGGCCGGTGCCCGCACCATAACCCTACTACGCCGTTAGCGTAAGGGTCCGGCTCTGCCCGCGCGCTACGCCAAGTGCGTACGGCCCCGGCGGCTCGCTGCGCACCTTGCGTAGCGGCGGCGCACGGTCCCCTTCAGGCCGCGCCCTGCGCTCGGCCGGATTCCCGAAGCCGCGCTTACGCCAGCGGCGTAAAGGCCCCCGGCGCCGTCCCCGCCGGTACCGGCCTCCCCTCCCCGCCGTTACTCACCGGCCCACGAAGTTCTCGAGCACCGAGCTCTTGCCCGCGCTCTGCCCGCCCACCACGGCGATCTGCGGCAGGTCCAGGTGGCAGCTCTGCCCGATGGAGCTGAACGCGTCCTGCAGCTTGTTCACCAGCGGGATCAGCTCCTCCATGCCCCGGTTCCCCATAGCGGGGGGGGGCCGGTGCCGGTACCGGCTCCTCACAGGCCCCGCGGCCAAACTTCCCCTCCGCGGCTCCTCATCCGGTACTGGCGACTCCCCTCAGCGCCGGGCCCGCCCCCCTCGCGGTCATTGGCGGGTTGGGCTGCCAATCGGCGGCTCTATTGGGCTGTCGCCTCGTCGCTCATCCCGCCCAGCCAATGGGAGGCCGCGCTGGGGTGTCAGCTGAGGAGGTGCTGCTGAAACTCCCGCCCGCCCCGAGGCAGATCCTGACGTTTCATTGGCGGAGACGCCTGCCGCTCCGCAAAGGCAACGAATCACAAGCAGCGAGGGCTCCCCCGCCCTCATCCCATTGGTCTCCCATTGCACCAGCTTGCCCGCCCATCCAGAGCCTCGGGGGGAGGGGGGCGACGGTGCGGGGCGGCGACGAATCCCTTCCTGATTGGCCAGCGGGCTGTCAATCAGCGATCCTCGCCCGCTGATTGGCTGCTTTGCTCCTTTCCCCCCCCCCTCCAAAGGGACCGGCCCGAGGCAGCGCCCTCGGCACGGGGCGGGGCCGGGGACCGGGGGTGCCCAGGCCGCAAGATGGCGGCCGCGTTGCCCCTGGTTACGGGCACGTGCGGCCGGAAGCGCCGATCACGTGGCTTAGCGGGAAGATGGCGGCGCCCACGGCGGCGGGGCCCGGCTCGGCTCCGTTGTTACGGGTGGTGGCGGAGTGCGGCCGGAGCCGGGCCCGGGCCTCGGAGCTGCGGCTGCCGCACGGCCCCGTGCCCTGCCCCGCCTTCATGCCCGTGGGCACCCGCGGCACCGCCAAGGGGATCACGGCCGCGCAGCTCGCGGCGCTCGGCTGCCGCCTCTGCCTCGGCAACGCCTATCACCTGGGCACGCGGCCGGTAAGCTCCGCCCCCCCCCCCGAAGACCACGCCCCTTCCCTGGGAGGGGCTATTTTGGGGGTCACCCCCCCTTTGTGGCCCCGCCCCCAGACCCCTCGGGTCTCCCCCTCCCTTCCCGCCGCCAATTGGAGGGCTCTATTTGGCGAGGCCACGCCCCTCTGCCCCCACGCCCCCTTTGTCGCTCCGCCCCTAGATCCCCTCTGGTCTCCCCCGGGTCCCCCTGCCCGCCCGCCCGCCAATTGGAGGGCTCTATTTGGCGAGGCCACGCCCCCCGGCACCCACGCCCCCTTTGTCGCTCCGCCCCTAGATCCCCTCTGGTCTCCCCCGGGTCCTCCTGCCCGCCCTCCCGTCCCCATTCCCGGTGTACCGCGGTCCCCCCGCAGGGCCCGGAGCTGGTGCAGCGCGCAGGCGGCCTCCACGGCTTCATGGACTGGCCCCACAACCTCCTAACGGTGAGGAGGGGGGGGCACCCCTTGAACCCCCCCATGGGCTCCAATATTGGGGTGTCTCCCCCCTCCCCTCCCTAAAATCCCCCTTTCCTTTCTCCCCCCCCCCCCAGGACAGTGGTGGCTTCCAAATGGTTTCCCTGTCGGAGCTGTCGGAGGTGACAGAGGAGGGGGTCCTGTTCCATTCCCCCTATGGGGAGGGACAGATCCTGCTCACCCCGGAGAAGTCCATTGAGATCCAGAACGCTCTGGGTGAGTGCTTGGGGGGCGGGGGGACCACGACACCCCCAAAACACCCCAATAGTGGGGGGGTATCCCCAGGTTAACCCCCCCCATCCGCAGGCGCCGATATCGTGATGCAGTTGGACGATGTCGTGAGCAGCACCACGACGGGGCCACGTGTTGAGGAGGCCATGAAGAGGTGGGGACCCCCCCCATGGACCAATCCACACCCCCCCCCCCCCCCCCCCCCCCACTCACTGTGTTCCCCCCCCCCCAGGTCCGTGCGTTGGCTCGACCGCTGCATCGCCGCCAACTGCAACCCCCAGCGCCAAAACCTCTTCGCCATCATCCAGGGGGGGCTGGACCCAGAGCTGCGGGAGCAGTGCCTCGAAGGTACCGGGGGCCTTCGTCTGCATCCCCATCCCCATCCTCATCCTTATCCCCATCCTCATCTTCATCCCCATTCTCATTCTCGTCCACATCCTCATCTTCATCCCCATCCTCATCCCCCATTACCATCCCCATCCCTCATCCTCATCCCCCGTCCCCTTCCCTCATCCCCATCCCCTTCCCCATCCTTTATCCCCCTTCTCTTCCTCATCTTCACCCCCCTTCTCTTCCTCATCGCCATCCTCATCCCCCATCCCCACCCTCATCCCCCATCCTTATCTCTATCCCCATCCTCATCCCCATCCTCCTCCTTCACCCCCATCCCCTTCGCCACCCTTCATCCCCATCCTCATCCCTATCCCCCTCCTCATTATCTTCCTCCTCCTCATCCCCCTTTTCCTCCTCATCTTCATCCCCCTTCTCTTCCTCATCCCCATCCCCATCCTCATCTCTATCCTAATCCCATCCTCACCCCCATCCCACTTCTCATCCCCGTTATCCTCCCCCTTTTCATTCTCTCCCTCATCCCCTTCTCCTCCTGATGTATGGGGGGGGGGGGGTACAGGATTAAACCCCCCCTTACCCCCCCCACAGCGATGATGCTCCGGGACGTGCCGGGCTTCGCCATCGGGGGCCTGAGCGGGGGGGAGGACAAGGGCAGCTTCTGGCGCATGGTGAAGCTCAGCACCGAGCGCCTGCCCCGGGACAAGCCCCGCTACCTCATGGGCGTCGGGTAGGTCCTTATGGGGGGGGGAATATTGGGGTGTCCCCCCCCTTATGATCCCCATTGCCCCCCATAGCTACGCCACTGACCTGGTGGTGTGCGTTGCATTGGGCTGTGACATGTTCGACTGCGTCTTCCCCACGCGTACAGCGGTAAGAGGGGGTTTGGGGGGGCATAGAATGGGGGGAACCCCTGTTCTGAACACCACTGGTTTGCCCCATAGCGGTTTGGGTCTGTGGTAAGAGGGGGTTTGGGGGGGCATAGAATGGGGGGAACCCCTGTTCTGAACGCCATTGGTTTGCCCCATAGCGGTTTGGGTCTGTGGTAAGAGGGGGTTTGGGGGGGGCACAGAATGGGGACCCCCGTGTTCTGAACACCACTGGTTTGCCCCATAGCGGTTCGGGTCTGTGGTAAGAGGGGGTTTTGGGGGGGGGGCACAGAATGGGGACCCCCGTGTTCTGAACGCCATTGGTTTGCCCCATAGCGGTTTGGGTCTGTGGTAAGAGGGGGTTTTGGGGGGGGGGGCACAGAATGGGGACCCCCGTGTTCTGAACGCCATTGGTTTGCCCCATAGCGGTTTGGGTCTGTGGTAAGAGGGGGTTTTGGGGGGGCATAGAATGGGGACCCCCCTGTTCTGAACACCACTGGTTTGCCCCATAGCGGTTCGGGTCCGCCTTGGTGCCGGGGGGGTCGCTGCAGCTCAAGAACCGGGGATACGCCAGGGACTTCCGACCCATAGAGGAGGGGTGCGGGTGCCCCACGTGCCAGCGGTGAGGGGAGGGGAGGAAATGGGGGGGGGGGGCGTAAATGGGAGGGGTACATAAAGGGGGGGGACACAAATGGGGGATACATAAAGCGGGGGGCACATAAATGGGGGGTACATAAGGGGCGCACACAAATGGGGGGTACATAAAGGTGGGGGGCACATAAGGGGGGTACATAAAGGTGTGGGGGACACATAAATTAGGGGGCACATAAGGGGGGCACATAAAGAGGGTACATAAAGGTGGGGGGGATCACATAAAGGGGGGGTCCCATAAAGGGGGGCACATAAAGGGGGGTCCCATAAAGGGGGATCACATAAAGGGGGGGGTCCCATAAAGGGGGGTCCCATAAAGGGGGATCACATAAAGGGGGGGTCCCATAAAGGGGGGCACATAAAGGGGGGTCCCATAAAGGGGGGTCCCATAAAGGGGGGCACATAAAGGGGGGTCCCATAAAGGGGGATCACCTAAAGGGGGGGTCCCATAAAGGGGGGTCCCATAAAGGGGGGGTCCCATAAAGGGGGGCACATAAAGGGGGGTCCCATAAAGGGGGATCACATAAAGGGGGGTCCCATAAAGGGGGTCCCATAAAGGGGGGTGTCCCATAAAGGGGGGGTCCCATAAAGGGGGATCACCTAAAGGGGGGGTCCCATAAAGGGGGGTCCCATAAAGGGGGGGTCCCATAAAGGGGGGCACATAAAGGGGGGTCCCATAAAGGGGGGCACATAAAGGGGGGTCCCATAAAGGGGGTCCCATAAAGGGGGGGTCCCATAAAGGGGGGCACATAAAGGGGGGTCCCATAAAGGGGGATCACATAAAGGGGGGTCCCATAAAGGGGGTCCCATAAAGGGGGGGTCCCATAAAGGGGGGTACCCTAAGGTGCCCCCCCCCCAGTTACAGCCGTGCCTATCTCCACGCCCTGCTCCGCACGGAGCCCGCGGCGCTGCATCACCTGACCGTGCACAACATAGCCTATCAGGTGCGGGGGGCGGGGCCACGGGGTGGGCGGGGCCATGGGGGTTCTATTGGGGGGGGTCTGTGGATGGGGTCTATGGGGTATGGTCCATGGGGGGGTCTATGGAGGGGGTCTATGGAGGGGGTCTATGGGGGGGTGTCCATGGGGAGGTCCATGGAGGGGATCCATGGGGGGATCTATGGGGGGTCCATGGGGAGGGTCCATGGGAAGGTCCATTGGGGGGGGTTCTATTGGGGGTTATCCAGGCAGGGTCTATTGGGGGGTCCATGGGGGGGGTCTATGGGGGGGTCCATGGGAGGGTCTATGGGGGGGTCCATGGGGGGGTCCATGGGAGGGTCTATGGGGGGGTCCATGGGAGGGTCTATGGGGGGGTTCATGGGAGGGTCTATGGGGGGGTCCATGGGGGGGTCCATGGGAGGGTCTATGGGGGGGTCCATGGGAGGGTCTATGGGGGGGTCCATGGGAGGGTCTGGGGGGGGGGGTCCCTTATTAACCCCCCCGTGCCCCCCCCAGCTCTCCCTGATGGCCTCCATCCGCCAGAGCATCCTGGAGCAGCGCTTCCCGCAGTTCGTGCGGGGCTTCCTGAGCTCCCACTATGGGGCGCAGGTCCCGCCGTGGGTCCGGGAGGCGCTGGAGGCTGCTGGGATCCCCTTGGAATAACGGGGACACCCCCCGCCCCCACCTGGGCTTTTTTATGTGTTTTAGGGGTTTTTTACTGTTTTAATGGGTTTTGAAGGGGGGGGTCACAATAAAGGTGCTTGGTGGGAACAGCAGCTTGTGGGGCTGGGCGGGGAAAATGGGGTTGGGAGAGGCTAAATAAGGACATGGACCCACCTCTGCCCCATAGAGGGATGGGGGGGGCATGGACCAACCTCTGCCCCATAGAGGGATGGGGGAGGGCATGGACCCACCTCTGCCCCATAGTGGGGTGGGGGGGGCATGGACCAACCTCTGCCCCATAGTGGGGTGGGGGGGGCATGGACCAACCTCTGCCCCATAGTGGGGTGGGGCGGGCCCCACACGTCAAGTGGGGCACAGGAGGAAGTTTGAGGACAGGGTGGGGTGACCACGGCCACGTCAGTGCCAGCGGCAGCTCCGGCCCTGGCCGCAGGTGAGGGGGAATGGGAGAGACTGGGAGGGACTGGGAAGGACTGGGAGGGACTGGGAAGGGCTGGGAGCTGCGACCAGAGGAGCCTGGAGCGATTGGGAATGACCGGGAAGAGGTGGGAATAGCACCTGGAGCAACTGGGAGTGACTGGGAAGAGGTGGGAATAGCACCTGGAGTGACTGGGAGTGACTGGGAAGAGGTGGGAATAGCACCTGGAGCGACTGGGAGTGACTGGGAAGAGGTGGGAATAGCGCCTGGAGCAACTGGGAGTGACCGGGAAGAGGTGGGAATAGCACCTGGAGCAACTGGGAGTGACTGGGAAGAGGTGGGAATAGCACCTGGAGCAACTGGGAGTGACTGGGAAGAGGTGGGAATAGCACCTGGAGCGACTGGGAGTGACTGGGAAGAGGTGGGAATAGCACCTGGAGCAACTGGGAGTGACTGGGAAGAGGTGGGAATAGCACCTGGAGGAGCCTGGATTGACCAGGAAGGGCTGGGAGCTGCGCCTGGGAGAGCCTGGAGCGATTGGGAACGACCGGGAAGAGGTGGAAATAGCACATGGAGAAGCCTGGAGTGACTGGGAAGAGGTGGGAACAGAGCCTGAAGGAACCTCGAGTGACCGGCAGTGACTGGGAAGGGCTGGGAGCAGCACTCAGGGGGGCCCGGAGCCACTGGGAGTAACTGGGAACCAGTTGGAACAGCCCCTGGGGAAACTGGGAGTGCCTGGGAAGGGCCGGGAGATGCAGCCCGGGGCTGAACCTGGCAGTGCTGGACTCTGAGCCCTATGGCTCCTATGGGGCTGCAGGGACCCCAACTGGTTTTACTGGTTTAACTGGTTGGGAATGGGCTGGACTCCCCCCCACCTTGGTGGCATCAGTGCCACAGCGAGGGGCACTGGGGGGGGGGTTACTGAGGTGCCGGTGTCCCCCACAGGCAGCGCCCTACCATGAAGTGGCAGCCGAGCCCTCGCCTGCTGCTGCTGCCGGCACTGGTGGCACTGGTGGCACTGGTGGGGCTGCGGCTGCGGCACAGACCCGAGGAGCCCGTCACCGCGGCGCCGGGCCCGACTCCTGCGCATTCCAATGGCAAAGGGTCCCGCTGCTTCCAGCCGGGAACACCGCGCTTGCCGCCCGGCACCCGCTGCGGCCGCCGTATCCGCATCCCTACCGCTTCCTCCTCAACCAGCCCCATAAGTGCCGGGAGCGGGCGCCGTTCCTGGTGCTGTTGGTGGCGACGGCGCCGGAGGACACCGGGAGCCGGGATTGCATCCGTCGGACGTGGGGCAACGAGAGCTCGGTGCCGGGCGTCTCCATCGTGCGCCTCTTCCTCCTCGGCGTCCATCCGGTGTTCGCCGACGCGCTGGCGCCGGTGCTCCACGAGGAAAACCAGGAATACGGCGACCTCATCCAGCAGGACTTCCTGGATACCTACAACAACCTCACGCTGAAGACGCTGATGGGCATGGAATGGGTGAGCAAGCACTGCCCCAACGCCACGTACGTGATGAAGGCCGACGCCGACGTCTTCCTCAACCTCTCCTACTTGACCCGGCGCTTGCTGACGCCGCCCAAGACCGGCTTCGCCACCGGTTACGTCTACCGGGGCACGGGCCCGATCCGGAGCAAGGCCTCCAAGTGGTTCGTGCCCTACGAGGTGTACCCCGACGCCACGTACCCGCCGTACTGCGCCGGCCCGGCTTACGTCCTCTCCGCCGACGTGGCCGCCGGCGTCTACGCCGCGGCGCAGACCTTGCCCCTCGTCCCCATGGAGGACGCCTTCGTCGGCATCTGCCTCCACGCCCTCGGCGTCGCCGTCACCACCGGCCCTTGGGGGGCCTTCTCTGTGGGGCGCATCCCCTACGAGCCGTGCCGCTTCGCCCGCGCCGTCATGGTCCATCGGTACCCCCCCAGGGAGGTGCTGGCGCTTTGGCCACGCTTCCAAGAGGCCCAAGGCGGGTGCAAGGGGGACTGAACCGCGCCGGTGATGCCGTGGGGTCAATGGGGGGCCTGATTCCTTTGAAGCCCCGTAAGAGGGTGGCCAAGCGGCCCCGTTGCCATGGCTGTGGCGTCCTGGGGACGTGGGTTATGCCGTAAGCCCTGCTTGACACCGCGGCGCCGGTTTGGAGCTCACCACCAGGAAGTGACACCCGGAGAAGCCGGTTCTTGGGTGCTCCCTTGAGCGCTTCCCATAGGCAGAAAGAGGAGAGGGGGGGGGGTTAAGGTTTGGTCTCAAACCCAAGAGGTTTGGGTCATTCAAGGAAGCACATTCCCAAGTGGAAGGGGGGGTGCGAGGAAGGGGGAGGCGTCGGTGTCAGGTTGGGGGTGTTTATTCATCTACATTCAGCTTACTCCAGGCGTGCTTCCCGCGGGATGCGGGCGGATTAACCCCCCCCCCATCCCTTTCCCCATCCCTTTCCCCCCCCCACTTCTACACCTGGAACACTAAAGCCTTAAAGAGACAAGCAGAAGCTGCTGGGACTCACTGCACAGAAGCGCCGGCGGGTGACGGGGACACCTCCGTCGCGGGCTCAGAGCCGGGGCCACCTTTGCCAATGGGATTAAAAAGGGAGCCCGGGCTCGGATGGGACTCCCGACAACGACGACGACGACGACAAAGAAAACCCCCCCTCGGGTAACCATAATAATTAATAATTAATAATTAATAATCATCAATCGGCATCCCTCTGGTGACAAACGGCAACCAACAACCCATTCGATCCAGCGAGGCCCAACGGGAACAGCTACGAACGGGATCACTTGACCCTCGGTGGTGGGAGCACAAAAAGGGAGCACGGCAACATGGAAATGGGGGCAAAAAAAAGAGGGGGGGTGTGGGGGTGTGGAGGGGGAGGGGGATGGGATGATGTTTCCCTCATTCCAGGAAGTGGGAAAACGCCTCTTCCGGAGGGCCCGGAGGCCCCGGAGCCGCGGCTCTATCTGTACTGGTAACTCATGCTGTGGTCGTTCCTGCCGTAGCCGCCTTGGGAAGCTTGGTAGGAGCTGGGGGGGCCGCTGTAATTCTGCCCGGAGCCGGGGGAGTTGTAGTTGGATTGGGAGGAATATCCACCTGGAAGGACAAGGATTGCCCCCGGTGAGCGCCGGGGCCGAGCGCCGGCATCGCTCCCGTCCAATCCCGTCCCAACCCCGTGCCATGGACGCCGCACGGGAAGCATCCCGGGAACGCCGTGGTACTGACCTTGCTTACCTTGGTAGGAGGAGCCGCCGCCCCCCGAGCCCCCCCCGTAGCCGCCCGTGTTGTAGGAAGCACCGGAGTAGTTGTTGCCGCCGCGGCCGCTGCTGCCGTAACCTGGCCGGGAGGGAAGGGGGGAGCGCGGTGAGCACCAAAACTGGAGGGGGGGGGGGGTTCTCCCTGCTCTGGGGGTGATGCTTGGGGGGGGGCAGAGCAGGAGAGGCCCCCATCGGCATCGCTTGGTGGCCTCCTCCACCTCAGTGCAATGGAGCAGAGCAGCCAAGTGGGGGGGAAAGGGGCCGCAAAGGGCTTTGGGGGCAGCTTCACCCCACATAGGTTACACAGAGCCCAGCCATGGGGCAGCCACCACCCCACTGCCTGCATCCCGCTCATCCCTGCTGCTTCCAGCCTGGATCTCCTTCCTCTGCTCTCAAACCATCCCCATAGGGCCCAATGGTGGGGCACCCACCACCACACTGCCTGCATCCCGCTCATCCCTGCTGCTTCCAGCCTGGATCTCCTTCCTCTGCTCTCAAACCATCCCCATAGAGCCCAATGGTGGGGCACCCACCACCACACTGCCTGCATCCCGCTCATCCCTGCTGCTTCCAGCCTGGATCTCCTTCCTCTGCTCTCAAACCATCCCCATAGAGCCCAATGGTGGGGCACCCACCACCCCACGGCCTGCATCCCGCTCATCCCTGCTGCTTCCAGCCTGGATCTCCTTCCTCTGCTCTCAAACCATCCCCATAGGGCCCAATGGTGGGGCACCCACCACCACACTGCCTGCATCCCACTCTTCATCCCGCATCTCCCCCCTTCTGCTCCCCAAACCATCCCTATATCCCATCCCTCCGGTCCCAAACCCTATTCCTCCATGTTCCAACTCTTCCCCCGTTACCTACTGATCTATTGATCCCCCCCCCTTATTTACTCACTGAATTTGCTCTCGTAGCTGTAATCAGAGCCTCCCCCTCCGGGCGAGTTGTACGAGTTGGAGTAGGATGAGTAATTGCCTTGCCCGTGGTTGTAGCCCTTCTGCTTGCCCTGCGGCGGGCCGTAGTTGCCGCCGCCGCCGCCGCCGTACTGGTTCTGGTTGTAGGCCTGCTGCTGCTGGCCCTGATGGGCCTGGTAGCCGGAGCCGTAGGAGCCTTTCTGCTGCCCCCCGTGCTGCTGCTTCTTCCCCCCGTGCTTGGGCACCGGGGAGTTGTAGTTGTCCCCTCCTTGGTAGTAGGAGCCGTAACCGGAGCCGCCGGAGCCGCCGCCGCCGCTGCCCGAGTTGCTGTGGCCGCCGTTGCTGTAGAATTGGCCTGAACAGAGAGAAGAGCGTCAGCCCCGAGGCACCAAAAGGCTTCCAAAGGTTGGGAATGCCATGGGGGGGGGGTGGGGAGGGGGTATTCCCAACCTCCGGCCCCACGGAGCGCTAAATACCCCCCTGAGGCCCATGGGGTGGGACCGACGGAGGGAGCTCATTCCCGCACCGAGGAATGGGGTTGAGGTTCCCGACGGCGCAGCCTGGGGTTATCCCAGTGGGAATGGCACAGGGAAAAGCCCTGCGGTGGGGTTGGCGAGGCTTGAGCTTTGGGGAAGTCGTGGTGTTGGGATGGGGGGAGATGACTCCATGGTGGAAAGCCAACGTGCGTCTTCCAATGGGTCCAAGGCACCAGCAGCAGGGTCCACAACGGCCCTTGGAAGCAGGGAAGTTTGCCACAGGAAAACCTTGATGCGGGAGCACGGAGATGGCTTTTTCCTTTTGGGATTGTCCCATCCCTTCCCAGCTGCATCCCATAGGATGCTGCGATGCTCTTCCCTCTTTCACACGGGGTTGTGATGCGATGGGTAACGCATCCCATCCCTGGGCCTCGTGAGGCTGCTTCCAGCAGCAAGGGGTTAAAGCAGCATCGCCTCATTCCAAGCGGGAAGTGCCAGGGATCCACCTCCCCAGTGGAGATATTGGGATCTTCCCGTTGGCACCAACGCCTCCTCGCTTCCTGGTGGAGTTCTGACACCGGTGGTGAAGGTCCCCATATCCAAGGCAAGGGATCGATCCATCCGGCCCCATGGATGTAAGGGGGAGCGGATCCGCTTCCCACCTTGGACCTTCTTCTTTGTGGAGCTCCGAGGTCCTCCTTGAGGCACCGAGGCTCAGGGAGAGCCTGGCACCCAATCCCAGTGATGGAAGCCGGGCCTTTGGGCAGCACAGGAGCTCTCTCCCTGCCATTCCCGATCCCGGTGACGCCGCGTGCCCTGGGATTTGGTGCTTTGAGGGCGCTCGGCTCCGAACGCTCCCCTTGGCGTTCACAATGGGCTCCTTTGCCGAAGTCACCTGGCATCAGTCCCTGATGCCCGATGTTCATTGCATCGGGATGGGAAGCACGGTGCCAATCCCACTGGATGCTCCCAACCCCTCCGTGCCCGGCCGTGAACAGGATCCCAAGTTAACCCGCGCCATCCTGCCCACCCGAGGGGCTGGCAATGAGAGCAAGGCTCCAATTGGATGCAAACCCAACCGGGAATGAAGCCAAGAGGGAGAAACCACGGAATGCTTTCCATGAAAGAAAAAGCAAGGATGGGCCTTGGGCTTGGAAAACCCCATCCAAGCATCCCAAACCCTCCCGGATCCCCGAGGGTGTGCACTGGAACAGGGCAAATCCCAAGCCAAACCCCCCCACCAAGTGCCTCAAGTTGTTCCGGCTCCAACGGCACCGGAGCAGCCCTGGAAGCGCTCCCAGGACTTTGGGCTTTGGAACTGGATCAAATTGAAGGGAAAAGCTAGTTTTTTTTTGGGGGGGATGCTTCAGGAAGACCCAAAAGGAGGAGGAGTCAAGTGGAAAAGGCACCTACAGACAGGATGGAGACAGAGCAGAGAACCCCGAATGAGAGCGGGCTCGCCAGGGCCACCTCTGCTCCCATCACCCCCGGGTGAAGCCTCCTTCCCTCTGCATCCAATTGGGAACAAGGGGATAAAAAATCCCATTCCAAAGCATGGCTGAGAGCTTCCCAAAGCAGGGAAATGTGGACTGGTCCCAGTTTATGGGGGCGGGGGGGGAACTGGGAAGTGGTGGTGGAAGAGCAAAAAGCACTTACTATAGCCGGCAGTGGCCGAGTTGCCTCCTCCGTAACCATAGCTCCCGTAGCCACCTCCTGTGGTGGGAGAGCGGGATTAAAAGGAAGGAAGTGGAAGTGGGAAAAGGCTTTTGTGGATGTGGGAAGAGGAGAGGGAATAGGGCTGGAGAGGTGGGAATGAGGCTCCTGGAGCTAAACACGAGGACGGAGCAACGCCAAGGAGTGATGCTCGGAGCATCCTGCTCTAGTGCAAGGTGTCCATGGCTACGGATGAGCTTTAAGGGCCCTTCCCACCCAAAGCAGGCTGGGATTCCCTGGAATACCACCGGGAACGGACCCAGGGCCTCGGGGGGTGGCCGATGTCTCACCTGCATTCATGTAGCCCCCGTGGTTGCCCCCGAAGCCCCCCCGGCCTCTCCCTCGGCCTCGGATGTTGCCGCCTCGCCCGCGGCCGCGCATGTTGGGTGGGGGGGGCACCTCGTTGTGCATGGGGCCTCCCATCCCGAAGCCGGGGTTGTGCTGCTGCAGGGAGGAGACACACACAAACACACACAGGTCACCAGGGAGCTTCCCGTGGGATCAGAGAGCTTCCAAAGGGAGCTCCACGCCGGAGCCAAGAGCCACGGGGATGGGACCCATCAAGGCCCCTTCCTAAGTGGTGCTTGTGCCGCTAAGCCCTTAGAGATCCTGCTTCCCCTCCATGCCTTGACCCATTCCCATCCCAGAGCAGGATTAAACCCCCCACCCACCCACCCCAGGAGCCATGGATGCACTGACCTTGACGGCGAATTTGGGCCCCCCTCTCGTGGGCACGGGGGCTCTTTTCTTCTTGTTCTGCTCGATGGGCACCGGAGCATCGGGGAAGAGCTTCTCCAAGGCGGCCAGCGCGGCGTAGGCTTTGGCCACCTTCTTATTGGAACCGGCCCCTTGGAACTTCTGCCCATCCACTTCCACCTTGTAAAAGGGATGAACCCATTGAAGGGCAAGGAGCAGGAGCTGCCACTTGGGTCAAGGGACCACGATACGGACAACGGAAGAGGTTGGGAGCGTTCAAAGGATGGATGAGGCTTTGAGCGAGCCAATGGGGTGGAAGCATCCCATCCCTGATCCTTGGAAGAGCCCTTCCATCCCAAAGCATTCCCTGATGGAGTGGTTTTAAGTTCCCATGGAAGGGACGGGCTCATGGGGGTCCCCCCTCACCTCCATGACAAAGCGCTTGTCGTGGCTGCCCCCCGTCTCGGAGATGAGCTCATACTTGAGCCCGCGCCGCTTCTCATTAAGCTCCATCACTGGGTTCTTGCCATGCTTGGTCAGGATTGGTCCCTGCTGCTTCACATTCTGCAAGGGGAGAAGCTGGGATGAGCCTTTTGTCTTCCCAAACCTTGGGAACTACCATAGACTGGGTTGGGCTGGAAAGGAGCCAAAGAGCATCAGGTTCCAATAGGCAGGGACACCTCGCACTAGACCGCGGTACCCAAGACTCCATCCAAGCTGGCCTTGAACAGCGCCAGGGATGGAGCATCCACAACTTCCTTGGGCATCCCATCCCGGCGTCCCAGCACCCTCACAGGGAAGAACACCCCTTTGTCTCCCACCCAAACTCCCCTGTTTCAGTTGGAACCCATCACCCCTTCTCCTACGGCTCCGATCCCAAATGAAGAGCCCTTGGAATACGCACTCCCGAGGTCCTGACCTCCTAAAATCCTTGCCTTGGAGCAAAAGCCCCTTCCCGTGATGGCTCCATGCTCATCCCACGGGAACGGGAGCAGCGGGGCCGCGCTCACCTCGGCGCTCTGATCCGAAGGAGGAGACGCGGCCGCCGGCGTCGCCACCGTTTCCACCACGGGAGGAGGAGCGACCACCACGGGCTTCTGTTCGCTCTCCTCGGCCGATTCATCGCCCTTGCCGGCTTCCTTGCCCTCCACGCCGGTGGGGAGCCCCATGTCCTGTAATACCTAGGGAAGGGGAGGGGGAGAGCAGGTCACGGACCGTGAGGACCGCGGTGCGGTGAGCGCTCAGCATCCCTTGGCTGCGCTGTTGGCGCTGGGCCCTCCGCCGGCTCCGGTGCTCACCTTCACGGCCACGTGCAGCTTGGCTGTCTTTTTGGAAGGCCCCGAGGCCTCGAAGGTGCTGCCGTCGATCTCCACGGACATGGTAAAGATGGGGGCGTGAACGGGCCCGGTCTGAGAGACCAGCTTGTACTGGAGGCCCGGTTTGAGCTGGTTGAGCTTCATCAGCGCGTTCATGGCCTGCGGGGGTTCCAGCTTCTCCTCTGAGCAGGGAGGAATGGGGGGGGACGTTGGTGGCTGTTGGCCCCCTCCCTCCCCCAGTCCCACACCCGCTCCCGTTCCCATCCTGGTGAGAGCTTCACTTTGAACCCGACGCCGTCAAGGTTTCGCTTCCCAAAGCCACACACCCGGAGCCCCCGTTTCCAGCTTCCAAAGCTGGAAGGATCCTTCCCAACATGCCCCTAACCCTAACCCTAACCCCAGCCCTGGGCATCCCTTTAGCACCTACCTCTCGTTAGCTCAATACCTTTTTTCTGTATCTTCTTCTTCTTTTTGCTGGGTGATTTCTCCTCCCCATCCTCTTCCATGGGGCGCTTCAGGGGGGTCACGGCGTACGTGGTGCTGGGAGGAATCTGGACTGTGGCAATGGGAAGAAACCCCCCCCCACATTCAGCATCCTGGGCCAGGCACCATGGGGATGGGGGGGGTTCATGGGGTTGGGTACCTACCAGTGTAGTCAATGGGGTTCTCGTTCTTTGGTTTCTTGGGCATTTTGGAAGGGAGAGGGTCCATCCCCAAGACTTTGTGCAGTTGGCCAAAAGCAGCAAGTCTCAGAGCGTGCTACAAAGAGGGAAAAGGGGCTGTTACTGGGAGGCGCAAGGCGGCGGCGCTGGTCTCTTGTTCCCTGCACAGCACCATTCTACCCCCCCCTACACCGACATCCTCAGCAGTTTAAATAGGACTTCTCTGGGATTCGGGTGGGTTTTGGACCCCAAAGGCAGGTCCTGGTTCAAGTCACTATTTCAACCCTGCGGCTTATGCTTCTGGTTGGCCAAGCTACCAAGACCTCAGCGGCGTGGGAACCCCCTTCAGCAGTTGTTTTACTCCACTAGAGATGACAAGGATGTTAAGAGCGACTCTACCGTGAGCCAAGGGGGAGTCAGTTGAACTGAGTTAAGTTTGGGTAACATCTGGAGTCAAACTATACCTGAGCACTCTGTGTGATATCTTCCCTTTGTTGTCTGTCTAGATGCCCAATAGCATCAGTGGCTTCTTTTTCACAAGGGATCATAAATACCAGAACCATCTGAAGGCAGGAAACAAGGAAGATATGCAGAGAATTATCCTGGTGTTTGCTAAAGAAACTAAACTAAGTATTCCCTTGGCATCAAGCAACACTCCAAGAACACGGACCGACACGATCCATCCATCGTGACGCTCGCCCTGGGCTATTTACCACGCACAGGTCGCAGTGGAGCTGCTTCACCACCGCTTAAGGAACCAAAAGGTCAGAAGCTGGAACCTCTCTATGGGGCGGGGGGGGGGTTGGTTCGAGGTGATGGCTCCGGGCCCCTCCGTGACGCCAAGGGCACCGCAGGGCTTTTGCCGAGCTCCCCAGCTAAGCTGCCCGCCCGGAGGAGGAGGGATGGGCTCAAGGGCTAAGGCCACACCGCGTTCCGCTCCGGCTCCGCTTTGAAACGGGAATGCAGAGAAGGACCTAACCTGGCATGACGATTCCCGAGGCGAGGCACTCCAGCACCCTCCGCAGGGCCTCGCCGGCTCCCATCGGCCGGTTGGCGGTGCCGATGGATTTCTCGCACAGCAGCTCCAGAGGCTGGGGAAAAGACAAGTTTGGAGAGGGGTGAGGAGCAACGAGGTGGGGGGGGGGGCCAGGAGCTGCTTCAGGCTCGCCAGCCACGAGGGATTTACACTGGAGAGGCTGGGAGCTGGCCCAACAACTCACGCCATCCGCGCCGGATGCGCGGCTTAAGGGCAGAAGCATTGGCCGCACCACGCACACTGGAGCTGGAGCATCCTTAAGGTCCTTCCAGCCCAAACCTTGCTATAACACATCAATGTATATATACAGGTACCAACCTCTGGCTTGGAGAAGCTGTGGCTGCCCCCATCCCTGGCACTGTTCAAGGCCAGGTTGGACTTGGAGCACCCTGCTCTAGGGGAAGGTGTCCCTGCCCATGGCACGGGGCTGGGACTGGCTGAGCCTCAATCCAAACGAGCCTGGGATTCAGTGATTCTGGCTACACACAGAAATCAGTATCTATGACTCTGTCACTATAGATATCAGTGCATAAACCTGTATCTACAGATAGCAATCAATATGCCTAAATCTTGTAACTATAGGTATCAATGCATATGAAGCTGTAACGATATCAACATGTATTAATCTGCAACTATAAATATCATTATGTATAAATCTGTATCTATCAATCAATATGTATAAATCTAACTATAGGTATCAATCAATACGTATGGATCTGTAACTACAGATATCAAAATGTATGAATCTGGAACTGTATCAATCAATATGGATAGATCTGGAACTATATCAATCAATATGCATAAATCTTAGGTATCTATAACTGTAACTATAGGTAACTATAAATATAAATCAATATGTATAAATGTGGAACTACAGATATCAATATATATAAATCTGTAACTACCAATTAATATGCATAAACCTAACTACAGGTATCAATCAATATGTATAAATGTAAAACTACAAATATCAATATATATAAATCTGTAACTATATCTACCAATTAATATGTATAAACCTAACTACAGCTATCAATCAATATGTATAAATGCAGAACTACAGATATCGATATATATAAATCTGTAACTATATCTACCAATTAATATGTATAAACCTAACTACAGCTATCAATCAATATGTATAAATGCAGAACTACAAATATCAACATATACAAATCTGTAACTTTATCGATTGATATGTATAAATCTAACTAGATCAATCAATATGTATGAATCTGTAACTATAGGTATAAATTAATATGAACGATTCTACAACTATAGCTATCTGATACGTATAAAACTGTGACTAGGTCAATCAATATGTATAAATCTGTAACTATAGGTATAATCAATACATGTGAATCTATAACTATAGCTATCAATAAATACATATGAATCTATAAGTATAGGTATCAATCAATTTGCATGAATCTGTAATTATAGGTATAAATCAATTTGTATGAATCTATAACTATAGCTATTGATATGTATAAATCTCTATATCAATAAACATGTATAAATCTGTAACTATATCTATCAATACGTGAATCTATAACTATAGCTATCAATATGTATAAACTTCCAACTAAATCAATCAATATGTATGAATCTGTAACTATATTAATCAATAGGTAAGAATCTGTAGCTATAGGTATAAATCAATATGTATGAATCTATAACTATAGCTATCAATATGTATAAACTTCTAACTAGATCAATCAATATGTATGAATCTGTAACTATAGGTATAAATCAATACATATGAACCTATAACTATAGCTATCGATATCTATAAACCTCTATCAATCAATAGGTATGAATCTGTAACTATAGGTAGAATCAATACATATGAATGGATAAATATAGCTATCAATATGTATAAACCTGTAACTATAGGTATAAATCAATACACATGAATCTATAACTATAGCTATCAATATGTACAAACTTCTAACTATATCAATCAATATGTATGAATCTGTAACTTTAGCTATCAATATGTACAAACCTCTAACTATATCAATATGTATGAATCTGTGACCATAGGTATCAATCAATATATATGAACCTGTAACTATAGGTATCAATCAATATGTATGAATCTGTAACTATAGGTATCAATCAGTATGTATGAATCTGTAACTATAGGTATCAATCAATATGTATAAATCTGTAACTGTAGGTTATCCATCAATATGTACGAACCTGTAACTATAGGTATCAATCAATATGGATGAATCTGTAAGTATAGGTTATCAATCAATATGTATGAATCTGTAACGATACGTATTAATCAATATATATGAACCTGTAACTATAGGTATCAATCAATATGTATGAATCTGTAACTATAGGTATCAATCAATATGTATGAATCTGTAACTATAGGTATCAATCAGTATGTATGAATCTGTAACTATAGGTATCAATCAATATGTATAAATCTGTAACTGTAGGTTATCCATCAATATGTACGAACCTGTGACTATAGGTATCAATCAATAAGGATGAATCTGTAAGTATAGGTTATCAATCAATATGTATGAATCTGTAACTATACGTATTAATCAATATATATGAACCTGTAACTATAGGTATCAATCAATATGTATGAATCTGTAACTGTAAGAATCAATCAATATATATGAACCTGTGTCTATAGGTATCACTCAGTCCGTATGAACCTGTGACTATAGGTATCAATCAATATGTATGAACCTGTGGCTGTAGGTATCAATCAATATGTATGAACCTATGGCTATAGGTATCAATCAATATGTATGAACCTGTGGCTGTAGGTATCAATCAATATGCATGAACCTGTGGCTATAGGTATCAATCAATATGTATGAACCTGTGGCTGTAGGTATCAATCAATACATATGAACCTGTGGCTGTAGGTATCACTCAGTCGTATGAACCTGTGGCTGTAGGTATCAATCAATACATATGAACCTGTGACTATAGGTATCAATCAATATGTATGAACCTGTGGCTGTAGGTATCAATCAATACATATGAACCTGTGGCTATAGGTATCACTCAGTCCATATGAACCTGTGGCTATAGGTATCACTCAGTCCATATGAACCTCTGGCTGTAGGTATCACTCAAGTCATATGAACCTGTGGCTATAGGTATCAATCAATACATATGAACCTGTGGCTATAGGTATCACTCAGTCCGTATGAACCTGTGGCTATAGGTATCAATCAATACATATGAACCTGTGGCTATAGGTATCAATCAGTCCATATGAACCTGTGGCTATAGGTATCACTCAGTCCATATGAACCTGTGGCTGTAAGTATCAGTCAATACGTATGAATCTGTGGCTATAGGTATCAATCAATACGTATGAACCTGCGGCTATAAGTATCAATCAATACGTATGAACCTGTGGCTATAAGTATCAATCAATACGTATAAACCTGTGGCTATAGGTATCACTCAGTCCATATGAACCTGCGGCTGTAGGTATCAGTCCATATGAACCTGTGGCTATAGGTATCAATCAATACGTATAAACCTGTGGCTATAGGTATCAATCAATACGTATAAACCTGTGGCTATAGGTATCAATCAATACGTATAAACCTGTGGCTATAGGTATCACTCAGTCCATATGAACCTGTGGCTATAGGTATCAATCAATACGTATAAACCTGTGGCTATAGGTATCACTCAGTCCATATGAACCTGTGGCTGTAGGTATCAATCAATACATATGAACCTGTGGCTATAGGTATCACTCAGTCCATATGAACCTGTGGCTATAGGTATCAATCAGTCCATATGAACCTGTGGCTATAGGTATCACTCAGTCCATATGAACCTGTGGCTATAGGTATCAATCAATACGTATGAACCTGTGGCTATAGGTATCAATCAATACGTATGAACCTGTGGCTGTAGGTATCACTCAGTCCATATGAACCTGTGTCTATAGGTATCACTCAGTCCATATGAACCTGTGTCTATAGGTATCACTCAGTCCATATGAACCTGTGGCTATAGGTATCAGTCAATACGTATGAACCTGTGGCTGTAGGTATTACTCAGTCCATATGAACCTGTGGCTATAGGTATCACTCAGTCCATATGAACCTGTGGCTATAGGTATCAATCAATACGTATGAACCTGTGTCTATAGGTATCACTCAGTCCATATGAACCTGTGGCTGTAGGTATCAATCAATACATATGAACCTGTGGCTATAGGTATCACTCAGTCCATATGAACCTGTGGCTGTAGGTATCACTCAGTCCATATGAACCTGTGGCTATAGGTATCACTCAGTCCATATGAACCTGTGTCTATAGGTATCACTCAGTCCATATGAACCTGTGTCTATAGGTATCACTCAGTCCATATGAACCTGTGGCTATAGGTATCAGTCAATACGTATGAACCTGTGGCTGTAGATATCACTCAGTCCATATGAACCTGTGGCTGTAGGTATCACTCAGTCCATATGAACCTGTGGCTGTAGGTATCACTCAGTCCATATGAACCTGTGGCTGTAGGTATGGACCCACAGGCATCAACCTCTCCCTACACCTACACACCAACCCCATAAAGCCATCGCCCTGCTCAGCCCCTAGCCCGCGGGAGCCCCGAGCGGGCCCATCCCCGTGGACTCACCCATCCCCGGAGCGGAGCCCAGGTGGGAACCCGCGTGCAGAGGTCCCGCAGCACTCGGATCACGATGACGCAGGACTTGAGCCCGTTCGCCCTGGCCTGGAGGCGGAAGCAGAGGCAGAAGCACCCTGAGCCAAGGCTCCCGTCGGTGCCGACGTTCGCTCGTGCGGTGCTGCTTTGCCGGGGGTGGGGGGGACACGGGGTTGGGGGGGGGACACGGGACACCTTACTAGAAACGTGTGCGAGGTGACAAAGTGACATTTACTCTTTTAAACCCAAAGCAGCAGCTACCCTTTAAACAAAGGTTCCTTCCGAACGTTTAACTCGCTCAAAGTGCTTCTTTAGCAAGTGCCCCGGCGCCAGGCGCCGCGCTCGGCGCCTCTAAACTACCATCGGATGTTAAAACAGAAAAAACAAAGGCTGATAGATCCAAAAAGAAAAGGAAAAAAGAAACGCCGAGAGTTAGCCCCTTAAAAAAAAAAACACACCAGAGTTTGACAAACTTGCTACTTTAAAGACAAATAGAAGAACAAAATGCAAACCTGGAACCACTTGGCGTGCCGCAGTGACGCCAAGGCAGCAAGGCATTTCTGCCTGTCCAGAACGTCCGGGGAGTCGGTGACTGATAGCGTTTCTAGTCGTGGATGGAATAAGAAGACAAGGCACGGTTTGACCAAGGGGGTTCTGTCAGGCGGAGAGGGGACGAGGCAGCTCCTCAACGGGCAGTCGGGGCTCCCAAAGGATCCTGCTTTAGATCCTCGCTTGGATCCTGCACTCTGGGAGGATGGCTCCGCTCCCCCCATGTTAAAAGTGCAGAGCGGGGCGATGCTCAGCCAGGCCAGGAGGAGGAGTGTGGAAAAGGGGGGGACACACACACATCATGGCTCCGATGAGCATCACGGAGCAACGGAAGGGGAACTTCCAAGGAGCCCCCCAGCTCTGCATCCAGAGCGTTGCTTTGTGGGGACAGGGGGAAAGGGGATGTGCTAGGATCGAGGGGACCCCTCCGCCCGTTGAGGCTTGGCTGCCCCGGCCCCAGCCCGTGACAGAGAGCGTCCTGTTGGTCAAAGGTCCAGCGTCCCTAAAACGGACAAACTAGAAGGCTTTTGGCAGCAAATCAAACCCAACGACAAGGCAATGGAGCACAACGACACCGGCCCCCCACCCCGGTCTGTGCTGCAGCAAAACTGGAGACGCCGTCACGGCGCTGAAGGCCAGGGTTTTAGATAAGGCTAAGGCACACACCGTGCTCCGGCAGCATGGAAAAACGCCGGCTGGGACTCGCCATTCCAAAGGGAATTGGGAGAGTGGAGAAGGGAAGCTAACTTTATCCAAAACTCTGCATCATCGTCGCTTGCTCCGGCCTTGAGCGGATCCAGGCCCGGAGCAGCCCTCATTCTTGCTGCAACACAAACCGTGGTGGAACACCCAATTCCAGGTACATGCAACTCATGGAACAAGAAGCCTTCGAGGTGTTTTTGGTCAGGTTTGGTTCTTAAATTGGAGCTGGTTTTAGGTCTTTTTATGTCCCTGCGGAGGCCGCTAATGGCTGGGTACGGCACGAGACTACCACCAGATGAACACTTAAAAAGAGAACTAAAAGGCCCAAAGTGAAGGGGGAAAAGAAAGGCTCAAACTCAAAAGGAAAGGAACAAAATCCCGCCTGGAAGCTGCTGCTCGCCTTCGGAAGCACATTCCCTGGAGGGAACGTGGAGCTGGAGCCCTCCAGGATGGGCGCCGCTTGGCCGGAAGCGGCAGAGAGCTTGGGCGGCGCGGTGGCACCGGGAGCGTGCGGCGCCGGCAGCAGCGCCCTACCTCCGGCGAGCTGCTTCTCCAGCTCCTCCCGGACCACCGGGGAGGTCAAGTGGATGGTCAGGGTCAGCGGCGGCTCCTTCGTGTTCTTGATGACGATGGCAGCGTCGCCGACGGACTGGATTATCTCGTACTTGTCTTCAGTAATAGCCTGCGAGGGGAAGGAGGCTCACGGTCAAGGGGATGGGGCTCTTGGTCAAGGGGATGGGGCTCTTGGTCAAGGGGATGGAGGCTCATGGTCAAGGGGATAGAGGCTCTCGACCAAGGGGATGGAGGCTCTCGACCAAGGGGATGGAGGCTCTCGACCAAGGGGATGGAGGCTCTCGACCAAGGGGATGGAGGCTCTCGACCAAGGGGATGGAGGCTCTCGACCAAGGGGATGGAGGCTCTCAACCAAGGGGATGGAGGCTCTTGACTAAGGAGACGGAGGCTCCGCCAAGGGGATGAAGGGTCTTGATCAAGGAGATGGAGGCTGTTGGCCAAGGGGACGGAGGCTCTTGGTCAGGGGGACAGAGGCTCTTGATCAGGGGGATAGAGGCTCTTGGCCAAGGGGATACAGGGTCTTGGTCAAGGGGATGGAGGCTCTTGGCCAAGGGCATGGCAGCTTATAACCAAGCACATGAAGGCTCTTGGTTCAGGGGATGGATGCTGTTGCTCAAGCGGATGGAGGCTCTTGGCTAAGGGGATGGAGGCTCTTAGTTAAGGGGATGGAGGCTCTTGACTAAGGGGATGGCAGCTTATAACCAAGAGGATGGAGGCTCCTGGTCAAGATGAATGCTCTTGGCCAAGGGGATGGAGGCTCTTGGCCAAGGGGATGGCAGTTTATAACCAAGAGGATGGAGACTCCTGGTCAAGGGGATGGAGGCTCTTGGTCATTCGATGGGGCTCTTAGCCAGTACCCTCCCAACACCACCTCCAACCCACAGCAAGGCCCAGAACAGAGATGCAGCTACTGAAGAGGAGGTTAACAAGGGAATTCCAGGGTAATTCCCAGAGGGACCCGGGCAGGTTGGAGAAGTGGGACCACGTGAACCTGATGGCACTCAACAAGGCCATGGGCAAGGTTCTACCCCCGAGTTCGGGCAACGCCAGCACAAACAGGATTGAGCCCCGAGGAGGAACTGCCCCATCCCTGGCAGTGTTCAAGGCCAGGTTGGACACAGGGGCTTGGAGGTAGGGGGTTGGAACTGGGTGAGCTTTAAGCTCCCTTCCCAAACCATTCCGTGATCCATGCCCATGCAGGTTCCCAACGCAGCGCCATCAGTGTCCTCCCATCCCAACACTCACAGCAAGCTGGACTCCGAGGTTGTCAGCTACTTTCTCCAGGAGCTCCGTGGTGGGTTTATCCTTGCAGAGCAGAACGAGCTCCAGATCCAAGTCCCCTTTCAGCAAGAGGCCTTTGGCCACCAGCCCGACGCGCATCACTCCCCGCAGGGTCCTGGGTCAGCTGCTCCGTGGCTTTCTGATCCCTGCGGATACACGGGGACGGTTACGGGACAGGAAGAATCCAGTGGGAAGCACAACGCCGGGGGAGAGATCCAGAAGGATCACGCAGGATGCATGGAGCTCACTACACCCAAACGGGAATCGGCGCTTCCACGCCGGAAGCCTCAATCCCTCTTCGTTCCACAAGGAGGGAAACCAACCTTTTCCACCCGGATTTGCACTCATCCACGCAAGAAGATGCCCTTAGCCCCAGCCGTGGCACTGCCACCCATGGTCCTTACCCCCCTTCCTTGTTCTCCTCCTCGGGCGCCGTCTCCATGGACTCCGGCTCGGGTTGCTCCCCGCTCACTTTCTCCTGCTCATCGATCCAGTCGGAGACGGCTTTGAGCGCCCGCTCCGTGTGGGACACCATGTTCTGCACGGCCTCCAGCTCCTCCTGCGTCGGGTACACGGCCGAGTGCTTGGCCATCACGTGCCGGTCATCGTTGACGAAGATCCGCATGGGGCGCTAGGAAGGGATTTGGGAATGACTGGGGAGAGCCTGGGGGGGGGGAACGTCCATCCCCAAACCTTCCCGGCTCCCCTCTTACCATTTTGCCTTGGGAACGGCCTTCCCAGCGTTCCGAACGTGCTCGGTTTAGATTCTTCCACTAAAAAGGCAGGACCAGCAGCCCAGATTCCCGTAATCTGGAAGCAACAGGAAGGTGGTTTAGGGAATGCCGGGAAGCCGGCCCTGGCAACAGGAACCTGTTAGCCCAAGCCTAGGTTCCTCCTCCTGGTGCCCGCAGTGAGGTCGCGGCCACCCCACTGATCCATATTCCCTAACCCTTCCCATTTAGCTCCTGCTTCCCATTCGAAGGGGGTTTTCCCAAGCTCCTGCTCACTCCTGTGCACGCAGAGCGCGTGCGAGCTCTGCAGCAGCAAAGGTGACAACTGCCCCTTCCTGAAGGAGGGGCCCCTGATACAGAATCAAACCAGGGCTTCCCTACGTAACTGATATCAAACGATATCAACGACGCTCGACAGACCCTGAAGCAGGTCTTGTGCCACGGATACAGGGCACGGAGAGAGGAAGCTGCAATGGGACAACTCGAGTCCTTCCCTCATCCCAATGGATGCTCCTCCTGTGGGAAGAGCCGAGCAGCAGGGAAAGGGCTGCGGAAGCAGCAGCTGGAGTCAAGTGGGGCCAAGCACATCCCAACGGCTTCAGTCAAGGGATAAGGGGGGGGGGGGGGGGGTGTCTCCCCTCCTCACATCCTGCCCCACAGCCTGGAATGACACGACCCACATGTACACCCATAGGTATCCAAGATAATAATCACCCTCTAAGAACCACAGGAAAATGGGAATGGTCTTTTCCTTGGGGACACGGTATTCCCAAATGCCTTTGATTCCAATTCTGATTCCAATGCTACGGAAGCAGCAGCTGGAGTCAACTGAGGCCAAACACATCCCAATGGCCACAGTAAAGGGATAAAGGGAAGGGGGGGGTTCTCCCCTCCTCAGATCCTGCCTGGAATCCTGCCCACATGGAATGAGGAATGGGAATGGGGGCTTCGAATGGAGAGGAAAGCCCAGCTCGGTGGCGATGGGACCGCTTCCCGGTCTCTCCAATGAAGGCCATGGTTGGGTTCCCTCTCCCTGTGGCCACACAGGGGTGATCCCAACCCCTGGCATTCCCTGGGAATTCCCGGAGTTCCTCAAGCCCCGCTTCAAAGCCTCCACACAAGGGAAGCAGAAGCCCCAGCACAGGGTTCGATCCATTGGGAATGCAGCGGTGATCCCAGCGCTCGGCCTCGCATCCCACCATTCCCAATCCTGCCTTTTGGAATGGGATTGCGCTCCAAAGGAGACCTTTGGATGGACGTTACTGTCCCTGCTATGGAAAGCTGGGAAAGAAGAGGTAATCTTCCATGTTTGAGGCGACACGAACCACACGTACACCCACAGGTATCCAAGATACCGGAATAACCCCCTCCGAGGACCACAGGGAAACGGGAATGCTCTTTTGCTTGGGGTGCATTCCAGGAGGAATGGCTCCAGGATGGACCCCCCCCATCCCGAGGATGCTTCCCGACCCCGTGCCACGGAGACCCCCAGAGGTTTGGGAATGCAGCGGGATCCCAAAGCGGGCTCTTCCCGGGATCCCCTGCAGCAGGATCCATGCCTCTTATTGGGGGGGGGGGGGAAGAGCCATGGATAAAGGCATGGATAAAGGCATGGATAAAGGCTCCATCCACAGGCTCCATCCCTGCTCCCGCTCTCTGGAATGCCGGCATTCCCGCCCCATCCAAGCCTTGGGATGGAGGCAAACCCCTCGTTGGGGCTGGGATGGGGGGGGTTGATAACTGGATTCAACCGGAGAAGGGGCGGGATGGACCCGGGGAAGCGCCGTTGGGAACGGGGAAACAAACGAGCCGCGCGCTTCCCTCCCGCTCCCAGCCGCGAACAAAAGCCGCGGGGAAGGGGAAAGCCACGCGATTATCGCCACTATCGCGATTATCGCCATTATCCCCACCTTTTTCCATCCCATTCCCAATGGGACAACGGGGGGACGGAGGAGCGGGGGCTGCTGTTATCGCGATTATCGCCATTATCACCCCGTTTTCCACCCCATTCCCAACGGAACGGGACAACGGGGGGGGGGGGGCTGCTACTATCGCGATTACCGCCATTATCCCCCCCTTTTCCACCCCATTCGCTATGGAACGGGAAAACGGGGGGGGAAATGGGTTCTACTATCGCGATTACCGCCGTTATCCCCCCCTTTTTCCACCCCATTCCCAATGCAACGGGACAACGGGGGGGGGGGCTGCTACTATCGCGATTACCGCCGTTATCCCCCCCTTTTTCCACCCCATTCCCAACGGAACGAGAAAACCGGGGGGGGGGGATGCTACTATCGCGATTACCGCCGTTATCCCCCCGTTTTTCCACCCCATTCCCAATGCAACGGGACAAGGGGGGGGCTGCTACTATCGCGATTATCGCACCGAACGGGACAACGCGCGCGTCCCTGAGACCCCCCCTCCCCCCCCCTTCCCCCGCTGCCGCCATTTGCGAGAACAAAGCGGCGGCAAAGCCAAAACCGGGGGGGGGGGAGGGGATCACGGCGCTTCCCCTCCCCCTCCCCCCCGCCCCCCAACCGTAACCGCCCCCCCCCGGTGCGGGGGGACCCGCGGTGCCCCCCCCCCCCCCCAGGCCCCCCGCGCTCACCGCGGCCGCCCGCCGCCATCTTGTCTCCTCAGCACAATGGGAGGAGGAGGAGGAGGAGGAGGAGGAGGGGGGGGAAGGGGCCGGGTCACCGCCCCCCCCTCCCCCCCCGCGGCTCCGTTACCTCCCCCCTCCCCCCTCTTTGTTTCCGGTTCCCCCCCCCGCTGTGTCCGTACCGGGGACGAGGCCGCTCCGCGATCGGCGGGGCCCGGACCGGGACCGGGGCCGGGACCCGGAACCGGGACCTGAGGGGAGGGGAGAAAGGGGGGGGGAGGGGGAGGGGGAGTGAAGGGGGGAGGGGGGGGCGCTGCGCGCGCGGGAGAGCGGGAGACGAGACCGCAGCGAGGGGGGCGGGGTCTGAGCGGGGGGTCACGTGGAGAGCGGAAGGGGCAGCCAATGGGGGAGCGCGGGGGGGGGGAGGAGTCAGAGAGAAAGGGGCGGGGACAGAGAGGAGGGGGCGGGGACAGAGGGGAGGGGGCGGGTCCGTACCGGGTCGGTCCCATGCGGGATCGGTTCCATACGGGATCGGTTCCATACCGGGTCGGTTCCATACCGGGTCGGTTCCATATTGGGTCGGTTCCATACGGGATCGGTCCCATACGGGATCGGTTCCATACCGGGTCGGTCCCATACCGGGTCGGTTCCATACCGGGTCGGTCCCATATTGGGTCGGTTCCATACGAGATCGGTTCCATACGGGATCGGTTCCATACCGGGTCGGTTCCATACCGGGTCAGTCCCATACAGGATCGGTTCCATACGGGATCAGTCCCATACCGGGTCGGTTCCATACCAGGTCGGTCCCATACCGGGTCGGTTCCATACCGGGTCGGTCCCATACGGGATCGGTCCCATACCAGGTCAGTTCCATACGGGATCGGTCCCATACCAGGTCAGTTCCATACCGGATTGGTCAATAAGGGGTCGGTCCCATACTGGGTCGGTTCCATATTGGGTCGGTTCCATACAGGATCGGTTCCATACCGGGTCGGTCCCATACTGGGTCGGTTCCATACCGGGTCGGTTCCATACCGGGTCGGTCCCATACGGGATCGGTCCCATACCGGGTCGGTTCCATACCAGGTCGGTTCCATACCGGGTCGGTCCCATACAGGATCGGACCCATACCAGGTCGGTTCCATACGGGATCGGTTCCATGTTGGGTCAGTTCCATACCGGATTGGTCAATAAGGGGTCGGTCCCATACTGGGTCGGTCCCATAGCGGGTCCGTTCCATACAGGATCGGTCCCATACTGTGTTGGTCCCATACTGGGTCAGTTCCATATTGGGTCAGTCCCATACAGGATCGGTTCCATGCTGGCTCAGTTCTATACAGGATCAGATCCATATGGGGTCGGATCCATACAGGATCAGTCCCATACTGGGTCAGTTCCATACAGGATCGGATCAATACGGGGTTGGCTCCATACAGGGTCGGTTCTATACAGGATCAGATCCATACGAGGTTGGCTCCATACGGGATCAGTCCCATACCAGGTTGGTTCCATACAGGATCAGATCCATACGGGGTCAGCTCCATACAGGATCGGATCCATACAAGGTCGGCTCCATACGGGATCAGTCCCATACCGGGTCGGTTCCATACAGGATCAGATCCATACGGGGTCAGCTCCATAGAGGATCGGATCCATACGGGGTCAGTTCCATAGAGGATCGGATCCATACAGGGTCAGTTCCATACAGGATCGGATCCATACTGAGTCAGTTCCATACAGGATCGGATCCATACGGGGTCAGTTCCATACACGATCGGATCCATACTGAGTCAGTTCCATACAGGATCGGATCCATACGGGGTCAGTTCCATAGAGGATCGGATCCATACGGGGTCAGTTCCATACAGGATCGGATCCATACTGAGTCAGTTCCATACAGGATCGGATCCATACGGGGTCAGTTCCATACAGGATCGGATCCATACTGAGTCAGTTCCATACAGGATCGGATCCATACGGGGTCAGTTCCATAGAGGATCGGATCCATACTGAGTCAGTTCCATACAGGATCGGATCCATACGGGGTCAGTTCCATACAGGATCGGATCCATACGGGGTCAGTTCCATACAGGATCGGATCCATACTGAGTCAGTTCCATACAGGATCGGATCCATACGGGGTCAGTTCCATACAGGATCGGATCCATACTGAGTCAGTTCCATACAGGATCGGATCCATACGGGGTCAGTTCCATACAGGATCGGATCCATACAGGGTCAGTTCCATACAGGATCGGATCCATACTGAGTCAGTTCCATACAGGATCGGATCCATA